ATATTTGTATTTTCAATTATTTTTTAAAAATTTCATTTGATATTATGTATTCAATGATATTTTAAACAAAATTATTAATAATAATTTTATAAATTTAAATTTTATTTCAAAATGACATAAAATTAAATGGTTTAAGTAATAATTATATTTAAATTTGATGACAATACTTGTAATTCAATAAATACTTTCAAGATAAAAAAAATGTTTTCATTTGTTTTTTTTCTTCTTTTAACTGCATATTTCATTTGATCTTTATATAAAGGACAATTTTTGTTCCTTTATTTCCTAATTAAATAATCAGTCTATTTTAAAAATATTGAAAATTACATTTGCTAAAATTTTTATCCTTTGAATAGAAAAAGTGTGGCGATGTGAGATTCATAATTATAAAGAAACTAAAATTGATTTTTAAATTCAAATTTACCTGATAATAAAAAATATATCATGTAAAAAATTGTGTCTGACATTATATTAATAGTATTTATTTTTTTTAAAACTAGCTGGGAACATTGACTAACCTGTATAAGATGTTTTTCCTAGTATATTAAGTGTGAGATTTAATTAAAATGTATAATAAAAAAAGATAAAAATAACTACTGACCTGGAGGAGGAGGTGGATGAGGATTATGTTTAGGATTGGGCCCTGGGTCTGGGTAGTCATCTGTGTTGTTTAGGTCCTCTGTTTAAAATTCAAATCATTTCAACTCTCAATATTAGCAAATTATGTGTTCAAATTCATGTCCCCAACACCATAAACTATTTCAACATTAGAAATGTTGTGCCTAATAGCAACCAAATGTAAAACTTGACCAAGATTCTCTTTTTCCTTTTTTCAAGGTTACATTCATATGTTTCAACTCAAATTTTGGAGACACAAAATAACAAGTTGTTCCGAATAATAATGTTTTTGATTATTTTATGAAGGTTTTGAATTCAAATTTTGTAGATTAAAAAAATTAAAAGAAAATACCCCATTAAAAATAATCAATTCAAATTTTTTATAAAAATTAATCATCAACAAAATTAATAAATATTTCATCTCAGTATGTTTATAAAAAAATATCCCCTACAGTCTATCTCTTGAGAACAACAAAAGGAAAAGAAAATCTCCTACAAACTATTTAAATCTCTTTTTCCTTGACTTATGAAGAACCACCATTCAATTCGAATCATAAAAAATACTATAATGTTTAATTTAACTGGGAAAGATATCAAACATCAGAAAATACATAAAAACAAATGGATTTTAATTTTTTTTTTAAAAAAAAACTTTTCTAAAGAGGTGTGTTTTCACTTGTTTATGCAAAAACTAAAGAAACTCATAAGAAAATTTACCTTTAGGGTTGTTCGTTGCAAAACACATATCCGCAGATGTGAGCAAAAGGAAGAGCAAGCACAACCGTGCAATAAAAGCCATTTCTCTCAAAAACTCTGCCAAATTTTATTCAATGAATGTAGAAGAACACAAAATTGTTCTACAATTTATAGATTAGAAAATATGTTATTGCATTTATTAATTTTTATTGCATCTTCAACGTTTTTAATGATTTTCCACGTATATTTGGAATTTGAATCCTTTCCTGCACGTTTTGCCTCCAACCCATTTTTGAAACCGTTGGATTAATCCAACAGTTTAGATTAAAAATATAATAAATTGCCAACTTTTTTTATAAATAAAAAAAAATTGCCTACTTTTTAAGACCAAATTGCGTGAATTTAATTAGATTGGGTGTATGAATTAGCTTTTTTTTTTTTTTTTTCTGAATCACTCCCTCTGCAAGATTGCAAGATTTGATTTTGGTTGAATCTCATAAGCAAGTGCTAAATTAGCCATAGGTTACCTTTGGGTATTTGATTTGCTTCCTTCTTTCTTGTAGGGAATTTCATGTTGGAAAAAGAAAATAAAAAGCAAATGAATCATTGATGTTGTTTACCTTTCGGCATATGAGAGAATTGTGTATTCTATAAATAGAAGGAAACATGGTGAAATGCAAAACATTATATAACATTAACCATTAGATTCATTCAAGAGTGTATAAATATGCCAAAGAGAATTTTGTCTTCAACTTTAACATTAACCGTGAGATCAATCCAACCATTTAAAAGTGTGTTAGAGAGGATGGAGACAACAACAATCAGGACAGGATCCGGAGTAGGGGAGAAATTTAGTTTCTTGGTTTCCCATATTTTGTATTTATTTTTTTTAAAAAAAATTCTAAGAAATATTACTTCACAGAAATCAATTTTATCTGACATTCACACAAAAATATTCTTATGAATGGAGTTGAAAATCCAACTTTCCTAACTTAAAAGGAAAATTTTTAATTATATAAAAGATCATATGATATTTTTTTTTAAATAAAAAATATATAGTTGAATTTTATTTTTTCAAAGTATCTTTTTCTCTAAACTACTAGGGTTAGCCTAGTGATTAGATAGGAAGGAGTTAGGATAGTTAAAAATATGAGGACCTAATTACAATTATCTTTTTAATTTTTCATATCTTTACAAAAAAAAAAAACTCTTTTTCTCTCTCCCTCCCCTCCCCCTCTCCTTCTTAACTTGTATAAATATTTCTAGTAACTTTTATAAATAATCAAACAAATTTTAGTTATTAAGAATATATCATGATTCTCATGAAAACTTCTCACCTTACCAGACATATCCTAAATGTCATTTAAAAAAAAAAAAAAAAAAACTACAAATCTTTAATAATTCTAAGGTAATAAAGGAAGGTTTTTTTTCCTATATTTTTATAAAATAAATGTCAACAAATCATATCTTAATAATTTATTAAAATATCAGTATTAGGAAAAATCAATTGTTTTATTCGTGTAATGTCCAATATATTTAATAATCATTTATAAATTTAAATAAAAAAAAATAGATTGTCTTCCTATCCACACCTTAGACATATACAATTCTTTTATATTGATAGTTTTAGATGAGAAAATCTAATAATGAAAAAAAAAGTCATTTAGTATTATTAAGATAATGAATGTTGCAATTCTCATTTAATTAAAAAGTCAACAAATAATATCTTGACGATTGATTAAAATATCAATATTAAGAAAAAAAATGTGTTACAAATTATTAAAAAGTCAACAGATAATATCTTGAAAAATAGTTTGATTGGAATCAAATGTGTTTTTAACAAAGTTATTTAATATCATTTAATTATATTTTAAAGAAATAATTTTCTAAATTACTGTTGGAGAGAAAAATACACACTAAAAAGGGGTTGAATAATGTATATAAAAAATTTGTATTTTTTTTGCAGTGATAGAGTGGAGAGTACAAATAGACGAAGTACTAGAGAGTAATCAGATGAAATAATGAAGTACACGTAATGGCACAAATATTTTTATATTGGTTTTTCTCCAACTCAGAGACTATGTCCAGTTTTTAATCTAATTAGATTGAGTTTCACTATCTTATCTAATATACAAGTATTCTTTACAAGCCACTTGTAGCTAAACAACAAGTATTCTTTATAAGTCAGTTCTGGCTAAAACTCAAGTATTCTTTCAACAAGTCTCTCCAAACTTAAATCTAAGTATTCTTTCAAACAAGTCTCTTCATGATTAACCACTAAGTATTCTTTTAAACAAGTCTATTCAAGCTTAACCCTTACAAATATAATCAATAAGAGTTACAAGTATATTTTCGCCTCTTCTAAACGTGATGCTATCAAGAATACAACACAAAAAGACTACAAAGATCTAAATACAATTTTCAAATGTGATTTTCTTTGCAGTGCTTCAACTTGATATTTTGATAACTTTTTTAGAATGAATTGCTCAAGAAATATTAATCTCTTGGCCCTTTTTCTTTGTGTATATACAATATATATCCTTTTTCTCGCTCAAAAGTTATTATGCTTGTAGTTTTTGAAGACTTGATCTTTATATAATAATTTTGGAGAAGATGATCGTTGTAGAGAGTAATGTTGATGCATTTAATGTGTACATTACATGTTTATCAAGATGTGTGTACCTCTTATTTGATCCAAGCAACTACTTATCATCATTTTCTTCTACTTTTGAGTGTAATAGAGAGTGTCAGCGTAGAGTTGTTGGGGATGGTGCAAAGAAGTCCTTTTCAATCTCTTTTCCGTGATATCCAGGATTGTGTTTTTGGCTTCTCACATAGATTTTGTCTTTTTCCTTATTAATGCTCTTTGAGACTTTCAAAGTTCCTTTTTGCTTGATCTGTTGAGAAATAACACATTAAAACAAATGCAATGTCAGTCTTACTTATTTAGTGTAAGTTAAATAAACTATATATTTCATCTAATTTCTTTCATCTTATAGATGATATGTATTATTTTCACATTTCGTCTTATATTTTCGAAGAATGTCGATTGTTACTTTAAAGAAAATATTATGTTTGTCAACATTAAAACTTAAAGAATCATATGTTATCTTAAAGATAATATTTTTTATCTAACAATTACCCTTTCTTAAAACTTAATATTAAATAAAATTAAAAATTAAAAATACAATCTCAAATATTTTAGAAAAATAATATTAAATAAAGTAAATTTAGTTTACATTTGTTTATATTTAATATATATATATATATACATATTTAATATATATATATATATAACATATATATATATATAGATATTCAAAATAAAGGGAATTCTTAATCATATTTTAAAAGTGTATTTAGGAATGAATTTTAGAAGAAAAAAAAGGGGGGGGAAAGATTTTTTATTTTAATAAATAGATTATTAGATTGCAATTTAATTCTTTCTTAAAATAAAAAAACATAAATCCATTTAAAGTCTTAACCTTTTATTAATTTATATTTTTATTAATTAAAAAATAAAAATATTAAATTTAATAAATAATATTCAATATTTTAAAAGTGTATTTAGGATTGAATTTTAGAAGAAAAGCATTAGAAGGAACATTTATTTATTTTAATAAATAGATTTTAATTTAATGCTTTCAAATAAAAAATCATTTCATGTTGTAATTTTTTTTATTAATTTTATAATTTTCTTGGTTTAAAAAGAAAAAAGTTATTCATTTTAATAAATATTATTAAATAATACTTTTAATTTATGAACACTACCACTCAATATGTTACTAAATCATGTGAAAATGGCCCATATTTCTAAGTTGAGTTTTAAAATTGATTTTTGTGGATCGACAAAAAATTGTAGTAGAAGAGTTAACTAAAAGTGATTAATTATATTTCTTAACAATTATTAATTATCAAAAATATCGATAAATAATTCATAATTATAATATGTTAACTCTTTAACACTCTTTTACTAATATTATATCTATTGTTGGTTGAAAATCACAAATATTGGTGGGTTTAATAAATTTTGTCCAATAAAAAAAGCATTAAGCTCAAAAGGCTATATAAACAACCTAGAAAATTCAACGACTACTTGATGGATACTTAGGATCAGTATTTTAAAAAGTTGATCGGACCGGCTAGTTGAACCGAGAACCGGTGGTTCAACTGATCCGAATCTTGAATTGGATCGGTTATGCATTTGACCTGTTTCAAACCGAAATGAATTGATAAATTTTCCGATTCGACCAGTGAATCGATGGGTCGAACCAGTGAATCAAACCGACTCAACAAAAAAAAATTAATTTTTTAAAATATTTTTTATACAAAATAAAAATAAAGATAATTTTAAATAAGATGAAAATTGAAATTTAAGATAAGATATGAATTTATTGAAATTTATAAGTATAAAATATATTTAACATTAATATTTTTAAAAAAAAATTAATAAAAACTGAATCATGCAATTCAATTAGTGATTCACTAATTTAACCTTTGACCTACTAACTTAGTACCTTAACCGATTTGATGATCGGTTCAGATTTTAAAACTATGCTTAGTATTATGCCAAATGTATGGGTTCTTTAATAAGACCATTATCTTTTGGTTCTTTATATGTCAATAATTCCTTGGATGTGGATGAATAATTATTGAATTTCTACTTTCTTTTATCTTACTTAGTCCGATAGGCTTCTTCCCTTTAAATTGGTGTTCTTTTTTTGAGCTTACAAAATGCCTCCCAAACTCATCCACAACTATCGCCACCAAATTTTCTACTAGCTACAACGAATCTCTCCATTTACTAGCTAGCAAATTTAACATCCTACAAACTAATTAGAAAACAACGAATTGTCCAGGATAACAATTCTCTTACATTTATCATGGCAAGCGTTTTAGATCAAGTAACCCTTCTTGAATCCAATCACATCCCTGCAGCTTCATCTGTTACCACTTTTGGGCCATTAACTACTCCTTTCAACTCATCACCACTACTAGCCCTACCTCCCCCTCTTATTCCTCCACCACCTCCTTTTCTTCCTCCCATACAAGGAAATGAACCACCAGAACTATCCTGCATCAGGAAATAACCTACCTTAGCTCTCAAACCAACAAAGTGTCTTGTTATGTTAGAGCTAAACAACCCACACACCATCACGCAGGGACAGGATGTTTCATCTAGCACCAAGTGGGAAGAGAAAATAATGGACAATAATAGCCCTTCAACAAGCACAGAAGCTAGCAGAATTTATCTTAATAAACCAAAAGCACCAACAAATACAAACGATAGTCTTATTGTAGTCCATGTTGATACTTCCATAATGGCTAAATCTTTTATCAGTAGCCAACTAGTCATGCATTAAAATAATTATCCAATGTAAATGTTTATGTTCACAGGGTCTCATATCCTATATGGTTCTTACATCCGAGCAAAACACATCCAAACATTTTTTAGTGAAATACAAACGTCAGTAATCTACCCTGATCATCTTTTCTTAAAACCATACTTTTTGCGTTCATAAAATAAATCAGTTTTGGCACTCCCTAAATTAACAATTTTGGGGCAACCATCTCTATCTTTCTCCTGCTGTGTGCATTCCTTGCAGTAGTAGGCATCAGATATTCCAACTCCTCCGCATATGACACATCTACCCTGAAATGATCCGTAGTTGCATTCATCACAAACTCGGACAAGTGTACAAGGACGCACATAAGAGTCACAGATCACACATTTGCCATCACATTTCTCACACAGCCGTCCAATGGCAATCCCTGGCTGCTTCCGGCACATAATCAAATCAGGATGATGCTTGGCCATATTTTCAACAACCTGCTAGATGCTGAACAAATATATATAACCAGTAATTACTTTCTACATTTTAAAGTTCAACAAGATATAAAGTAAATCAGTAATTTATGCACTAATATGCTACACCGTGTGGGAAATATGGATAAGGGAAGAGATTTTGGTTGTAACAACATTGCTTACATAGCAAGGAGAGAAGGGGAAACCATTAGAGGCAAGGATAACGGGAGAGAAAGATAGGAGAGAAGGAGGCAATCTTTTGGCTATTTTTGGCTCTACCACAGTGAAGTGAAGGGTTACCTTCTCTAACATATTCTTTCTTTTTCTAATTTTCCTGCATTTTCATGCTAAATATAGAGTTCTGTTCTCTGAATTTTACTATAATTTCTATAGAAAATTCCAGTTTCTATCACAGTAAAACACTGATTCTTCAAAACAACTTATAACACAATTTTGTAACAAATACTGAATAGCTTCCTTGTAAAAATAAGCAAAATGCCCAAATCATAAAGAATTACAGAACCAATTTTTGGTAAGAAACAATATTCAACACTTGCAGTGTCACTTTATTATGCGGCATGGCATTACTGTAAAATTGATGGTTCAAAAATACCCATTAACCCATAAAAGGACAATCAAAAGTGTCATATGCCTTCTCTATTATAGACTCCAGAATCTATTTTTGTCTATCCTCCTTGGACATAAAAAATGACAAGGGTAATGACTAATTTTGCAGACCTAGCATACTTGGAAACCTAGAATTCCAACATCCATGAACTGATCAACTAAGCTTTGCCTCATAACGAATAAAATAGTTAAAGCTACTACAGCTTACACCATATATGTTACAGCCAGAGACAGAGGGACCAATCCTAAAAACCATTTACTTGTTCTTTATGTAGTTTGAATTTATAATATGTCTTATGTGTAGGCTAGAGGCTCACTAGTTTAAACGATGACATTAATTTCCCACTCTTTGTTGTTTGATACATACCCCAGGAACCTCACAACAGTCTGATATTACTGACTCCTACCAAAAACTTTCACACCACCAGTATGCTCTAACTTCAAGAAGTGTTTTTTTTTTTTTTTAATTCTTTACCATTCATGCAGTTGTGATTTCTATAGCATGACCCCATAACAAACATGCATGCGTTTATAGCTAAACTAATTGTTATCTAGCAAGCTTTTATTTGGAATCAGGACTTAACGTTATAGAACTTACTCAGCCCACAGAACTCCCCCATATTGTAAAACATGTTGGTACAGGTCTAGAGCAACTCCTAATTCATAACTTGTAAGACTAAAAGAAAAAAAAACAAAGGCAAGTTTCCATAGACCTAGAGGACGAAAATTTAAGATCTTACAAGGGTGTCGATAACAAACAGTGAAATAAGCTTATCTTGTATCCATCCATGTCAAAAGACTAATTAGAGGATGAAATTTTTTTTTTCCAAAATGTTGGACTTGCTAATCACTAGTTCAACCTAGAGCTGTGGCTCACCAGAGGTTGTCAAAAGTTTCAGCTCACATGGGTTGCCTAACTTTAGTGCTAGCAAGAAAAAATTTAGCCAACCTGACTCAACCCACCATGAGAATGAATTGGCTCACCGTAAAATAAAAGGCAGAACCGCAGAACATTTAAATTAAAAATAAATAAAAACAGAAACCATAATAAAAACAAGGTAATATATATATATATAAGACTCGCAGAATTGATCAAAAAGAGGAGAGGAGATTTAAATCACCTTAGAAAGGGCCAGTGATTAATAAAGTATCAGCAGGTCTCAAATAAAGTTCCAAAGAAATCATAATTCAATATGCCAAATCCCAATTGGTTTTGTGACAATTAACCAACTTCATAGAACAGTCTAACCATCTGACTAATATATCGGTGATCATGCGTATTACTAACAGAACTTACAGGTGCTACATTTAAAAAACCTAACACCAGCTAAGGATCCCCTTAACTAAGTATACCAAGGTTTCAGAAAACCCTATATGTTCACAATTTCCCGCAAAATAAAAAAAAAATGTGATGAAATAGCCGCAAATTTAAAACCTTGCGTCATGGGTATACTTGTGCAATACTGGTAGTGTAGTAATCACTAAATAAGGACTCATAAAAAATAGATAACGGTTCACGGTTCGGTATAGATTGCAAAATGAGCGTATTAATAGTGAGTGAGCTCTGAAACTGATTTTAATACTGGACGGAATCTAGGGTTACGTTTCGTTTCTTCCTTTGTACTATTCGTTATACGATAAAAGATAAAGATAAATAAAAATGAAAATAATTGCAGAAAGAAAATCACAACAAGAGAGAGAATAATATGAAGAAAAGGGGTGAACTCACCTGTGCTGAGAAGAAAGTGCAAAACGGTGTCGCTTCGTCTGAGCACAGAACAACAAGGGTTGTGTTGCGGTGGAAGAAAGAGAGAAACGAGAGAGAATGGAGCATAAAAGGAGAAGAGGGAAAGGGAATGGAAGTTTTGAGAATAATACAGAATCAAAAAGCCCAAGCCCAACCACAAATTACGGGTTTCAAGTTTTTAATGGGCCAAGGCCCTAAAATATTTGAGGTAATTTTCTTGCATATTATGTTTCATCTAGTACTTCATTTCCTAAAATTAGCTTCTCTATATTTTTTTCCCTTCTTTTATTTTTGCTAATTTGTTTGCTTTCTTCTTTTTATATTGCTCAAATGTTTTTTCTTCTTTTTCAAATTCAATCATTTGTGACTTGAAGGATTTGTTCCCTTCAAAAACACTTAAATGTAAATAAGGGTAATTTTTTTGGTAAATCCTGTCAATTTTTCTTCTTCAGTCTCATTTCTTTTTTCAGTAACTGGATTTTGGATATTAAATTATTTCAAGTGCACATATCTCAAGGTCAAATACTGGCTTGTTAAAAGAGTTTGCGATTTTTCAGATTTTTAAGGATATTTATGAGTAAGTCCCATAATTTTTGGTGGTTGTATTGAATTTCATCATCATTTCAGTTCTTTGCTAATGTAAACATATACTTCCTAATTATAGGCCTTTGAGGAGGAAGAGGCAGTAGCAACAACACCACCAGCTCCCAAACCATAGACAATTCTTGTACATCTATTGTCTCTTTCTGTTGATGTATTTATCTAGATTCTGTACCAGCTTGTCATAGCTGCTATGTGCTTGGGGATATATGTTGCATTGTTGCTTTTCATTCTTGTCTATTAACTCATTTTTTTCTTATCGAGAACTATTACAAATAGTTTAGTCAACCATCTTTATAAAAGAATATTTACAAAAATTTTATTAATAATGATGATATTACAACATATAAGTGATATATTCAGAATTCTCTTCTTTTTTATTTTTTTTATTTTTTTTCTCTTTCTTGTATACATTTAAGAGAACTAAGTGATTCTATTTATAGACTCAAAATAAAGAAAAGATAAAATATAAGCTAACATGACTAAAATGCCCCTTCAGTCAAGTATCGAATTATACTATACCTTTACTTTGTCGGATCAAAATCATCCGTCTCCAACCCTTGTCCCCAAACCCTGTCCCACCAATCCGATGCAGAGAGGAGTAGGTGCATTGATGCCGCCCTCATGTGGCTCCTTGCATATTTCTTTAGCACCCACCTCTGAGCACATATGTTTTCTTCTTCTCTTTGGTAAAGAAAAAATCATAACAGAGTTGGTTACACTTTTTAAAAATTAAAATTAAAATTAAAAGTAATGATGTGGTAATTTGTAATTGGGGAGACAGAGTTTGGGGACAGGGGTTGGAGACATAGGATTTTGATCCTACTTTGTCACCTGATAAAAGAATAGATTTGAAATAAAGCATATTCTTTGTTAATAAGATATCTTATTTTACTTTATACTAAATTTCAGATTATTAGGCCATATTTTAATCATTTATAAACAATTCATTAATTTTTTGTTTTTATAATAAAATTTGAAGTCATCATTAAATCTTTTTCCAAGTATAATTTATTGATCTTTTTTCTCTTTTCTGAATTTGATTGTAATTGATGGTGTAAAAATGATTTTTCGTTCATAAGATATGAAACTTAAATTTAAAATATCTTTTATACTATATAAGCCGACTTTAATGAAAAACACAAATAGACACAATTGCTTTAGATGCTCTAAAATACTAACATTGTTGATATTTTTTACTTTTATTTTTCTTTTGTAGTTATAACACATAATTCAAATTTGATGAATAGTTGTTGGGATAGAAGTGAAGGAATTTATAAGGTTGGAAAACGTCAAGTTGGCGGTATAGAGTGAGAGCCACAGTAGTTTTTATTTTATTTTATTATTATTATTAACTTCATTTTTAAAATTTATTCATCATTTAACCTTTATTTAGTTTCATATCATTATTTATGACAGTAATGACACATAAATTTTATTCTATTCATATATATATATATATATATATTGAAACAAAAAATTTAGATTACAACAAAATATGATTTTATATAAAGGTAAACTCAATCGCTAACTTTTTTTTTTTTAAGATTTTCAATAAAATTATAAATTTTCTATTTCATTTTAATATATGTTTATATAAAATAATATAAGATATGTTAAAAAAAATTAAATTTGTTCTCAAACTTTAACTAATAAAAATGAAAAAACTTAACCAAATATATAACGCTTTATTAACTTATATATATATATAAAGTTTATAAGAATGCAAAAGGCTTGGCCATCATTGATCATGGATGAAAACGAGAGATGTGTACGATTGAGGTTTACCGGAAAATTCTTATTCCTGTACGGTGGGATTGGGAATGCAACTGTCCCAACTTCATTGCTGAAAGTCAAAATGTGAGAATTACCTTACAAAATTATTTTAGGAATAAATTTTATCTAGGAATATTTTCTTTTCATAACTTAAACATTTAGGAATGTTTCGTTAGGGAAAATGTATAAATGTAAAGTTTCAAGCAAACGCCTTCTTATTGGTATAAGATGGAATTTAATCCACCAACAAAAACTATAAAGAATTCTGGATGAACTCAAAGTTAATTCTACACTCAATAATAAACTCGATCAATTCATTCATTAAATAAGTTGAATTATTATTTAAAATTGACATACTTGAATGAGTTGAATTTAAATGAAATATAATTTGATTTATTTAATTAATTTATATATCTATATACACACATAAAGTGTCTAAAACATGTATGCAAGATATATAAACATACAAATATGATTTATAATATTTATGTAAATTATTTTATTCAGACTCTTGTTCCATTTAATTTGAACCAATTTTGTATAGATTTAAATAATATGTAAAACTTAAATTGAATCGAAGTTTGTATTTTTTAATAGTGTATTTGGATGAAGTAATTCAATTTTGTTTTAAAAAAATTCAAATGCTTTGGAGTAAAATGTTTTGTTTTTGTAAAATTTACAAAAAGTTTGAAACCTATAATGTACAGAATAGGTCCCGAATTCTCATGTGAAGAACTTATTGATTCTCGATCTTACCTCATATTTCATAACACTCATTTAGACGGAACAAATTATTTGGTAGGTTGAGTTTTGTGTCTTGCTGGATACATTCCTCCACGATTAAGCTTTGAAGAAAGTAATGTATGAAAATTACATAATAATAAAAAAGTATTAAATGCACACAAATGATTGAATCTTTAATAGTAATATTTTCTCATTTATAAATTTTTGCACCTCACCTTCAGAAGGAATTTTTTACTCAGAAATATAACCGAACACTCTAAACACCCACTAACTTGGGCTTTATAATCTTTTTTTTAGGTATAACCACTGGTTGCAATCTTAAGGACTATGGCCAAAGATTGAAGATCGATGACTTTGGATGAATACTTCTTAGCATGTACATTTGTCATCCATCGTGCGGCCATAGAAAATTTATTATTACAAACTCTACTAAGTAGAACACAGATGATTGGAGCAGGAGGATAATCCAACAGATATCTCGAAACACCAAATCACATTCATATGTTGACGAATTTTCATAGGAGATGGCCCTCCTTAGGCAACAAAATTCTAAGTTACAATAATTGGTTGAGCAGTTGCAAACCAACACCTAATTAAATCATTACTCCTAGCATTGACCCCACTTGGCAATTGAGTTCATCTAACTTTTCATGTGATTTTGTTTTCCCTTTCGTAATGTCGCAATCAAGGTGCTGCAAACTAGAGAAGTTCGAGTTACCCAAGCCCCTTGACAAGAAAGGACATCAACATTAGGGTCTCGTCTAGATGGGACATCAACACCTCACTTTTTTGCTATACCAAAGGAGTTCCACAAGCACCCCTTAATTGATGAGATCATAGGTCCCTCTTCCAAAGGGATGGAAGAACTTGGGCATAGACAAGTATGATAGGACCTCAAATCCTGATGATCATTTTAACCTATATGTCTCTTAAGAAACCATGCTTACTAGTACCGATGCAATCATGTGTCAAATATTCTCTAGTTCTTTGAAGGGAGTTGCGTTGAGATGGTTTACCCATCTGTCGTCCCGTTCATTTAACTCCTTTCAAGTATTGATTTCCCAATTTATTACTCAGTTAGACACTAGTCGACCACACACCATGACATCGACTGCCTTAATTATCGTCAAATAAGGTATGGATGAGTCTCTCTACATTGCTGATAGCTTTAAGGTTGGGTCTTTTTCTAAATAATTTATACAAGAAGTCAACATTTTCTATGGAAGAACTTCAAAGGAGAGTAGAAAGTATATGCAAATGTTTTAGGGAGGAATAGAGTAAGGCGAAAATGGACTCAAAAGAAGACGAGAAAGAGAGAGAGAGATCAGTCCAAGCGTATGAAGGAACATAAACAACCTTAAGATGGGATGGATAGAGGGCAGTGTACTAGTATTGGTACACAAGTTAAAGTGAAAGATAAGACTTTGTTGATCAACACTTTAAAGTAGAATGTTGACTTGTTTACGTGGTCGACATTCAACATGTTTGATCTATTTTTTCACTGTCATCACCTATCAGTTTGTCATGCAACTTGACTCATAGCCTAGAAGAAAAGAAAAATGAGTGAAAGTGTCTAAACTATTAAAAGTTGGTTTCCTACAGGAGGTGTAGTATACCACTTGGTTAGTCAATGTGGTTTTGGCCAAGAAAAGGAATGGTAAGTGACAAATGTGCATCGATTATATTGACATTAATAAGGCTTGCCCAAAAGACACTTATCCTTTGCAAGGTATTGAAAGACTTGTAGATGGGGCAAGCAAACACCAAGTATAGAGATTTCTTGATGTGTACTCAAGATATAATCAAAACCCTAGAACTTTCCTAGTAAGCTGAAAATTTTCTTCATAACCAAGGAAACCAACTTCTATTATATTATAAAAATATATTGAAAAGAATTTGGAAGTGTACGTGGATAACATGGTGGTCAAGTCCAACAGTGTGACTGAGTACATGGATGATCTTGTTGAGGTCTTCTCGGAG